GGTCCCCACCAAAACTTAGACCGAACCTACGCCCTTGGACAAAGCAACAGAAACAGAAGAAATCTGCAAGGGGATCATACTCTTTCACGGTACTGTCTGGTTCTTCTTCCTCACCGTGGAAAAGCAGTTTTTCTAGGTGAAAGTGAGAGGAAGGTGATTATAACATCCCTGAGGGCTACCTGTGTTCACAGTGAGACTTGAGGAGGTCTGCCAGTCCATGTGCTGCGGTCAAGCTGACCTGAAGTCTGTAACTCATTTATTGCTGGATGACCGCAGTTGATGCCGAGCTTAAATCTACAAATAACCCTCACAGCTCTGTTCGGTGTGTGAGCGCAATGGGAAGCGTTCTGGAAATGTGGAAGTATTCACGACGCAATGGATCGACAAATCAATGCCATCTCAGTCCTTTTGTGTTCCTCTCCCCACAGACGGGACGGATTTGTTCTGTTTTGGGCGATTGCTGGTTGTGTGCGACGCGTGATTGCTCCGCACAAACACGACTGCCAACTGTGAAATTGGAGACGAATCCACGAAAGTAAAAAAGCAAACGACTTGCAAAAAGATAAAGCGCGACGACTGATGAAGCTTTGAAAGGACCGAGGGCCAGAGAGTTGGAATAGATGCTGCGGATGTGTGTGACGGATGACTGAGCGAAGCCTCTTTGATAAACCGACTCAACAGAGAGTAAACACAGAAGCAATAATCTGCAGCGAGAGGAAACAATCCCGACTGCAAGCCTCCTTTCTACCTCTCTCTCTGTTGCCTCTCTTGAAGGTCATACGTACTTCATTGTCTTTTATATATCTCTGTGTAACTCAACATGCTTGTAAAAGGGATTTATGGTAAGAAAAAAGGAGAGATGCAAAGAGCGATGTCTTGCCGTCTGCCTTTTCTTCGCATGAACACTCTTCAGAGCACAAATGCTCACAAATTGCAATCTATACTTCCATGACAACTGAGAAGCATCTTGTTCCTGAGAAAACAGTTTGATTGAACCAGGAGCTCTCAAACAGCAGCTTAATAAACAGGAGACCGATCAGATTTGTTGTTTCTGTGTCATTTTTCATGGTCAGGAAATTATTCAAGAAGTGCTCAAAGGTGAGCCATGAACTGTAGGATCAATTACGGCACGCTTTCATTTTTTTTAAAGGTTTCTAATTATTCCAACTAGTTCAATGCACGATTAAACATTAAAGTCTTCGAGAAATATCTGAAAATATAATTTAAATACATTGCGATTTTTTTTCTCCTCTAAAGTTGCCGTTCATGAGCCTTGATCCAAATTCAATGATTTTTCTGTCGATGAAACTTAGCGCCTCAGCCGCCTCCCTTTATCCTTTTTGTTTTCCCCGTTGAAGGTCTGCTGCCTCAGTGGAGCGATCAACCGCCCTGTAAATCTCTTTGACAGGTGAACTGACAATCGAAACAAAAAAGAAGTGACTCATTTTAAGGCCTGATCCAAATGAGGAAACCTGAAATTGAGTGGAAAAATTGCTTCTTGACTGGCATGCCTTAACCGCTGTTAAAATTACAGAGAAGAGATGAGAGGACATTGTGTGGGTGGGCATTTATTACTGCAACTCATGAGAGAGATTTATCTGAACTGAAAGGTAAGAGCTGGTGTGAGGAGCGTCAGTAAAACTCAGCTAAGACATCTGCTACTTTGTAGCTTTGAGGGCTTGTGTTGATGTTAAAACCGTACATTACGAACCACATCTCCTGCTTTCGGATGAAGTCAAACTTGAATTAAGTTACTTCCCTTGTTATGCAAAGGGTGAACATTTTGATACAATTATCCCTGAGACCTCTGTCTGTTTGACAAAGCCCGGCTGTTTCCTAAGAACAAAACTGTCTGATCAAGTGACTGTGTTGCTAAATTTTCCACGTCCTTTATGCAAATTTAAAACTCTTCCTGTGGTCGTTTCTCGTCAGTTTTAGGTGTGAGCATGCCCCATCAAATGCCACGTCAAATTATTTCTCTACGTAGTTATTTGTTTGTTTGGTAAAAAGTTCCCCTGATGGACGGAAACAGGATGAAGGCTGTTGCCCACTTGCAGCGCTTCGTTTCTCCTCACAGCTGTGAGTTTGAGATAATGAAATGCAGGCTGAGAAAAAAAAAAAAAAAAGTCTCTTCCCAGCTTTCAAATTACACCCATCACGTTCACTTTCATGTTGTGTTAGTGATATTGGATAAAATTTGCAAATGCACCATCACCCCTGACAGCTTAAACTCCAGCTGTCAGTCATTTTGAAGATATGCTTTCATTTCAGTGGCCATTTTGGAGAAATAATACTTTGACAGTTGTGGGTGTTTTGGGTTGTTTTTCCCCCATCTATGTTCTTATTTTGATTATTAGCTTGTTTATTTAATTAAGCTGGATGCTGCCTTATCAGTCCATTCCTTCATATATCTTGATTGTTCTTGCTTTGCGTTCTCTATAATTTTTTGAGTGTATTATCGGTGTTGATTGTTTTTCCCCCCTCTGGTCATTGTTTACTTCTTCCTCAGCTTCATTCATGTTAATGTTAACCTGTTTCCCCCCTGCTTTTCCTTCACACCCGCAACCTGTTCCAATCAGCCACCTGTTTCGTCCAGTAATCAGGTCTTCCAGTATTTAATCTAATTAAGCTTGAGATATTTTGGGGGAAAAATATAACATCTAAGATCTGTCGTTAGACGTGCAAAGCTAGTAGAGACATATAGCTTAAATACTTAGGAGTGTTATACCAACGAAAGATGGTACAACAACACATTGACTAGCGTGGGAATAAATACAAATTGAACACTACATTTTCTGTTTTTAATCTAAAAATACCTTTTAATTCTGTTTGTTTTCTTTGTTTTAAAAATGATGCGCTACTTTGTGTCGCTAGATAAAAGTTTGTAATCTGACAAAATGGAAAAAGAACCAGGAGCGCTTTGTGTTGCGATAAATAAAATCCCAACAGTTGATACAAGATGGCATAGTCCTTCTTATTAAAGTGGAGAGAGAGAACGAAAATTGAACTTCATTGCTTCATTACGGAGTCTCTCTGAATGCCCCTCTTTCGCTTTCTCTCTCTCTTTCTCTCTCTCTGATCAAACCCTGCGAAGGAGAAAAGCTTTGAGCTCAAAGTTAAAAGAGAAGCGGCGGAGCTGCAGCTCAGCACCACGGACAGCGAACCATGCCGTCATTTTCTACCCGTTCTGGTCAAGCAGTGGGAAAATCCTAAGAATGTGTCGAAGATAAAGAGGCTTTTTCTTGGACTTTTTTTTAACCTCTGTTCAAAGTAAGACGAACCCTGACTTTGTACATTTTTAGTCGATGTGCGTTAAATGTCTCTAAATTCCTTAAATACCGTGTTCCGCCATTATCTAAAACAAAAAAGCAAAAACGGAGTAGCTTTAGCAAGGGTTTATAATTTACCCTGTGAAACTCCTATTGCAGAATCCAGATGTATAAACGTAAATCCAAGCAAATGCGCTGTGCGTAAAAGCGGTGACTCCGCTCCGTGCCATTTGGCTTTGGTGCGCGGCGCACTGTTCGGCTCGCCTTGATATTTGGAAATAAGATTTTAAAAAAAAATAAATAAATATAGCGTTAATGAGGCTGACGTGAAGCTTTTCAAACTACACCAACCTCTCAAGTCAGATCTCACTGTCTCTTGTTTAAACTTAGTTATATTTGAGTGAAAACCTCTTTTTATTTTATCGACATAAGAAAAGCAGAAAGTAGCACTTCACACTTGCAGCTGTTTTACTTCTTCTTTCTTGCTCTAAAATAAGAACAGCACCGTCTATTTTCGGAATCGGGGGAATCACATCTGCATGTGGATTGTACACAATGGACCCTTCGGACCCGTACTGGTATCCACTCCCTCCGGAGCCCAACTCCTCCGGAGCCGCTGGCTCACCCTTCTTCTTTCCCTATCCTCGTCTCCTGAACGTCTCCTCCAACATGTCCACGCAGAGTGTCCCCTTCCAGGGCAGCAGCACCCCGGTGACCGCTATTATCTACCTCACTGTCTTCTTGGTGGGTCTGACCGGCAACACGCTGGCCATTTACGTGGTGTTGCGCTACGCCAAGATGAAGACCGTCACCAACATCTACATCCTGAACCTGGCCGTGGCCGATGAGCTCTACATCATCGGACTGCCCTTCCTCACCACTCAGAACGTTCTCTCCTACTGGCCCTTCGGATCGTTCCTCTGTCGTGTGGTGATGACTGCGGACTCCATGAACCAGTTCACGTCCATCTTCTGCCTCACGGTCATGTCCATGGATCGATACCTGGCTGTGGTCCATCCGATCCGGAGCACCAAATGGAGACACCCTCGCGTGGCCAAGGTGGTGAGCGCAGCGGTGTGGGCTGTGTCCTTCATCGTGGTCCTGCCGGTGGTCATCTTCTCTGATGTGCAGGTTTGTCTTTGGGCCATATATTTGTAGTAAGTCATCATTAAATTTCAACCAAACACATTCAGTTGGAAGGCAACATTTATATTGAACCCCAAAAGTGCAACAAATAATAAAATAAATAAATAAATAGATTGAAGATACTTTATTGTGTCAGTAACTACTGAAAGGTTTGACATAAAACATAAATTATTGATAAAGTATCTCGTTAAATAAATATAGAATTAATTGATTTGGTTATTGTGTTTACAAAAACATTTCATTATCTATCTAAAGGGGGCGCTAGGGCGCATCAGGATTTTTTTTTTTTTTTTTTTCTGCCAACCTTGCAGATCAAAGTTAGTGGGTGGGGCCGATGTTGAAGTCGAGATGATTAGTCTGAGGTAGACTTGCTCTGCAGGTTGCTGAAGTGGACCCAAACACAGCCAGGATTCAGACATAATCAAAGTGTCAAAAAAAACAACAAACAAACAAACTGTAGAACCTGTAAATAAGTGTGTATAAGCCGATTTTTAGCCTGGAAATCTACAACTAAAAGTGATAAGACCACAGTCTCCATTTGTATTGTGTTTTTGAACGAGATAAATTTGTACTATTTTCATATTAGTTGTTTTTAAGTTAGTTTTTGTGCTATATCTGATATTATGTTTATATAGGGCTATGTGTTTCAATGTGTTTCTAACTTCCCTTATGGGGAAAAAACACACATGGGTAAAATCACACATACACACCACGTGAGAAAAATCCTTTGTGATAACATGTCAGCAAAACATGTGACCTCCTGTGTTTTGCACACATTTCTCCATGGTGATAAAGTGTGAAACCTATGGAAGTTCACATGTCTGTCTTGTCCAAGGACACAATGACGAAGTGACACAGATAGAGCAGGGATTTGAACCAACAACCCATCATTTTACCTGCTGAGCCCAAAACAAACTGCATGAAAAGCTGAGGCGTTCAGAAACTGTTGGTTCCTTTAAATCCAGAATGAAACCTTCATTGTTTACTGCTATGGAGAAAAATTACCTTGAAATTCAATTTTCACAATTTCTTTTTTCCAATTAGCATTTTAACGGATGTTTTGTGTGATTTTACACATTTATTCAGTTATTAACTTCTGTTATATAATCACATCTTCAATATCCTCCTTTACTTTCTTTTTTTCCAAATAGTTGCATCAATGAAGATGTAGAAACTTTACCGGATTTTTAGCAGTCAATAATTTCCTCCTGTGCTGTTGGTCTGCTGTCCTGCTGCATCTCTGTTGTCCAAGATGTTGATGTAGTTTTATAGAACGTCAACCTTGATTTGTTTGACTTCAAGATTTTAAGATTTATTCATATGGAGAAATGAATCTTATTTCATGCTCAGCACTGAGTGAGCAGCTGACCAGTTTAGGAGGAATAAAATAGTTAATATAAAAGTTTCTTGACTTCTGCGTTAGGGATTTAATATTTGTTTTGTTAAAAAATGCCATTTAACCAGTTCTTATTTAAGTTGCATCACAATCATATGTGGAATGAGATGTGTGATCACATGATCTTTAATAAATGGATTTCTCTTGTTTTTACTGTTGTTTCACATGTATCCTACATGTGTTTTAATGTGTGTTTCACATGTTCTCCACTTGTATTTCATTGGTGTTTCACATGTGTGTTTTTCCTTTTTCTGACAAATGAAACACATTTTGGGCACATGTTTGATGCTCCACCTGTGAAGACGATGTTGGTTGTTTAAAGTGTTTTACGCAGTAAATGTGGTTTTATTGGAATGGAAATCATTTTAAATGGCGTCTTGGCAATAAATACTGATGTGTCACTTCAATGCACGTGTGACGACACAGCAATGCTTGCACTGACATAAAACCTGTGGTAATTAGAAAACTTACGTTTCACTGGGAAATGTAAGCACAAAGTTTCAAGAAAGTAATTTTTTTCTTACACTCGTTTTTTGCCTTTCTTGTGTATAGTCACAAAATATCTGCTGATGACTCAGCGAGCTCATTTTTCAAATGTTCCTCCTGCATAGTCATGGATCATTAATGAAGGTAGCAGCTCTTTCTCAGTGTCTGAACATATAAAGGGAGAAACATTTTAAATATAATGTGGTATTTTCACTTGTGTGCCATCAAACTTAACTTCTACCTGTGCGGGTAGATGGCGGACATACTAAAGGAGTTTGACAGATTGTGCCCTTGGGATAATATTTTAATAGCTAATTTGCGGTAATGCTACAAATACACAGGCTAATTATGAGGAGGAGAAAAAAGAGCCTTGCAAACCTAGTTAGTGGCTGCAAGACAAAGCAGGCTATTCTGCTCATGCAGTTGTTGAGGGAAACATGTTAATGCGTGCTTGTGCACAGCAAAGCAACGATGCCATTCAAAAATGGTGCAGATATCATATTTTGCTGTATCTTTCTAACTAATGCGTAAACCTTATGGTTTGAAATGTAACATCCGAACTGGTGGTAAGATACTGATTGCCAACAAAATCTAACAACGAAAGCTGCAAAGGCAGAATAATCAAATAACTGCAACTAAAACAAAACAAAAAAAAAACAAACTAAGGCACAAATAACAAGAAAACTCACATTGGCTTACAAGACAGAACCAAAGTTATGAGCAAAAACAGGATGATAATGGAGCGGAGGAACAAGTGTGCTGATTACCACACCCTGTTCAGGTGTGACAAAGAGAATCGACTGCCAAAGAAGCTGATTTAACACAATGAAATGGGAGCATCTGTGATAAGGTACATAACAGAAGTGACACAGAAAGAGCAAAATATTAGTTCTAAAATTTATCTCAAAATGCTAAAAAAACAAAACAAAAAATAGTAAACTTCTTGTTAAAACAAGAAAAACCTTCAGTAATAATAAACTGATTCTTCAATCTTCCACTTACTGCCAAGCTCATACCAATCTGTTTGAAAAAGATGTTTGTTTTTCCTCTGATGTCACTCAGGACATGTTCAACTCCTGCAACATGAACTGGCCGGAGCCGAAGGACGTGTGGTCGACGGCCTTCATCATCTACACTGCCACAGTGGGTTTCTTTGGGCCGCTGCTCATCATTTGCCTCTGCTACCTGCTCATTGTTATTAAGGTACGTTTACATCACCCGTCTGTCACGCGTCCCCCTCTGGCGTTGAAGACGTATTAAACGTTATCACGTAGGTGAAGTCGTCCGGGGCCAGGGTGGGCTTCGTCAACCGGCGCCGTTCAGAGCGAAAGGTGACGCGCATGGTGGTGGTCATCGTGGTGGTGTTCGTGCTCTGCTGGCTGCCGTTCTACATCATCAACATGGTCAACCTGGTGGTCATCATCCCCGAGTCCAGCATCACGGCCGGGATCTACTTCTTCGCCGTCGTCCTGTCCTACGCCAACTCCTGTGCAAACCCACTGCTCTACGGCTTCTTGTCGGATAACTTCAAGCAAAGCTTCAGGAAGGTCGGCTGAAAATCCTCCGGCCTCGAAAACGAAACCACAGAGTTGATGAAGTTCTCGAAGTTGCCACGCCGTGTTGTGCAATAGTCAGACTTTGTTTTTCTTCTTGTTTATGTTGTTTCCATTACTCACCTTGTTTCCTGCTTTACTTTATTTGTTAGTGTTTGTGCTCTTTCTTTGGTCAAAGTCTTGGTTTTCCCATCGCGCCTCAGGCTCAGCATCGTCACTCCTGTCTTTCTTTATTCCTCACCATCTTCAGATGATTCACGTGGTTCTTCTTTTGGCAGGGTCCCCACTTTCAGTTGGTTTGAATAATAAAAAAAGAAAATGCAGCACATTTTGTGACATTAATGATTCCTGACCTATTTATAAAGTATCTATGACACTTCTGGGGTTGTGTGGTGGATGTGGATTGGGACGTGACCTTAAATTTCGTCAACATGCCATTTGTTACATTTTGCAGATCCTACATTTTATGTTGTTTTATAACGTAACATTTTGGTAAGGAAACAAATGTGGTGAAAGTGCAGTATTTCTCAAACGGACGTTTTATTGTGATCCATTACACGTAGAGCATGTATCTCAAGCTTTTGCTTTCATTTTTGTACATTTTTAATGATTATGGATTTCAGCACATCTGTCAATGCCCAGGGGTCAAACCCAGCAAGCCTCTAGACTTTACAGGTTTCCATTTGACCTGTAAATATTGGTGAGTATCCCAGAAAGCCAGAACCCTGACACCATGCCACTGAAGTGAGAAAAAATATATATTTATTTGCCCCGTACAGATTCATGGTCCCAATTCTTGGAAATCTCTCATGCGGCTTGTACAACCTTTCTAGAAAACCTCTAAAGCTGCTCTCTTGACCCTGCAGGTGCTCTGCGTTAAGGGTATGAGGTGTGCCGCCAATGGTGTCGATGACGGCGACCCCAGCGCTCCGCGCACAGAGAAAACTACGGCGCAGGACTGCATCCTGCTCTCCCCTCGTAACGAGGTCTACCACGACGCACAGAGCAGCCAGGTAGCCTCGTTATGTAGGTCGTGTCGTGCTGGAGGTAATGTGAAAAAGATGATGTTTGGTGCATATAAAGGAGAAGCAGGAGAATCAATGGGCTCTTTATGCACAGATTGCGAATGTCGTCTAATGTCATGCAGGAAAATCACATTATTAGCCTTTAAGGATGAAGAACTGACAGGAAACACTTTGGCTCAGGCAGCTTCATCAAGTCCAATAAGATGAGCTGTAAATCTGCCACGATGGCTCTGAGACTCCCTTTATGCTACACCAGCTGGTTCAATGTTATGAAAACATAAGTCACAAATTCAGACATTTAGTTGCTGATGTTTAGATTTGTGTGAAAGTGTTTTAGCTTCTCAAACTTTCCCACTTTTTCCTCATTTCGTACAACTACAAACTGTATTGCATTCAATTGGGATTTTATGAGCTAGACCAACACAAAACACTGCGTAACTATGAAGCTGAAGGAAACTGACTCGTGGTTTTCTTGCAGTGTTTACTAAAAATCTGAAAAGTGTGCCAGGTACAAGAAAAATCATCACAGAGTCGAAGAAACACACATCAGAGAGAAAGTAGTGGAGAAGTTGATGTGCGTTTGGATTATAAAACAATATCTTACTGCGCATTTTGTGTTTAATCCACCATCTGAAAACTGAGGGAGTGCAACACAACCAAAACTGGCAAGATGGATGCTCTCTTCAAACCGTTATGACCGAATATGAGCTAATCTGCACAGAAAATGAGCGACGATGTCAGCCTCTAGATCCACCCAGCTGATGGAGACAAACCTTCTCAGATATAAGAGAAGTCAACTTTGTTTTTGCAAAAGCGTTATGTCAGATTAATAAAATCTTCATCTCTTTTTCATTGAACTTGCATGTTACATTTTGTTGTTCTAACACGTAAAACCCCACAAAGCTAAAAAAAATAAAGCTTGTGATTTCAATGTGGGAGAAGATGGAGAAAGTTCAAGACTTTTTCAAGGCGCCGTCTCCTCAGTAATTTTACCCATTGAAACTACAATGTATTTTCTCTCAGCAATAATTGTTACACATTTCGCTAACCTTTTCTCCTTGCCTTGCTCAAGATCTCACCCCACCCCACCGACTGTTTTGGCCCCCACGCCGCCGCCGACCTGAACCGCTCCACCCCTAAATACCAGCTTTCCTCCACGTTCGCGGGAACAGCCGCTGCTACGGCCGGAAACTCCTTGATCACTTCTGAGGCACCCGAACCTCCCACCACCACGGCCCTGACCACCGCCTCCTCCTCTGCCTCCGTGGCTCCGCAGGAACAGCAGTGAGTGGATTCTGGGTCCCAGACTGGGTCTGCAGAAGAGAAACAAAGAGAGGCTGGACTTACCGTTTCAGATATCAAACCTAAAAAAAAAAAAAAAAAATGTTTTTCCTTCAAACTGCAAGCTCATTTGAAACAAATTGCCGCACTTCTGCTTCTCATTGTGTGACAAACTGTTGAAGATTTTTGTTTACCGAGCCCATCTCTTCATTAAGCCTCCCGCTGACATAAGTGCCTTTTCATCAGCTCTCGATAATCATCTCAGCTCCTAAAGGAAGGCAGAAACTTCCACACAATCTTTTTTGTGCGTGTGCTTTGTGTCAAGGACTCTTTCAGCTTGTAACCATGTCTACGCCTACTAGAGCCAAATGCCTTTTACGTTCAGAAAGTAGAATCCGTGCAACTTATTTAGTGTAACTAACACCAATGGTTTAATTTGTACTTAGTGGGTTTTTTTAATTTAATGCTCAAACTAATTTCTTATCATTTACTATACAGTGATGATCAAACTTAACATCCTTTCATCAAGAGCATTAATATCTCATTCAGTTATGAACTGAGCCTTTCTTTTTCTATGAAGAAGTGATTATACAACATGCAACTTCATTAGCTCCACGAATGACAACTTATTGTGATTTATGGTTTTCCCTTCATCTGCATATTCAATCACTCTTTTTCAGCTGATTAGTTTCTTGCCACAAAGCCGGACCTTTATGCAAAGTCCGCGTCATTTTAAAACACCCTACTTTGTCAAAGTTTCAACTAGTTGAGCCAAATTCTCACCTTCTGCAGAGAGGAAACTGGTAAGGACATGTAAGACTCGTGCCTGTCATTGAGTGGAAACTGCTGCGACACCAGTGTCATTGTCCACAGTTGTAGTGAGTTTGTGGCAACCGAGAAGTGTCTGCTTCAAAATCAGGACCTTCAAATTTCAAAAAAAAGAAGAACTTTTGGAAAAGTCTAGAACACAAAGTAGGTAAAAGAATAGAAAATGATCGCAAACCCAGATCAAAACAGGTAAACATTCACCTCACTCCCAAATCTTCTACCCTATCCTGACGATGGTCGAACCAGCTGAAATGCTTGTTTCTTTCCAGGAGAATTATCCAACGAAAATGATCGCTCTCTCTCTCTTCTGATTAAAACATGAGCCAGAATTAGACCAGAAGCTTGGTGATGGTAGGTTGGCCATTTTCTTCCTGCGCTAAGTAAAATACTCACTTACAGAACAGTCTGTGCTTTCTACCATTCACTTGGATTCCCACTGATGTTTCTACCGGGCCAATCAGTGAACAGAAGAAACTGTGAAGGACGACGTCGTTTCTTTGCGCTGTAAATTCAAACTTGTGTACCAAATCTTTAAAAAAAAAGCACCAATTGCATGTTGTATAACCTTTGCTTTCCTGTAAAAGAATAGCTCAAATTATTCACAAAAAAACCCTAATTAATATAATGCTGACATGGTGATTTTGATGGATTAGCATCTGTATATCTTATGAAGTCTAATACTGTATATTATGTGTATATTTTTAAACCAGGCTTGTTGCTGTTTTCTACAGTGAATGTAACCGGTTGGCAGCTCGGAAAAACCCTCAGCCAGCATCAAACACGAAACCTCTGACCTCTTTGCGCTTTTACTGTGTGTGTGTGTGTGTGTGTGTGTGTGTGTGTGTGTGTGTGTGTGTGTGTGTGTGTGTGTGTGTGTGTGTGTGTGCGTGTGTGTGCTCAGCTTTATTTGTGTCTCTTACATGGATTTGTTTTCAAAAAAATGTTTTTTAAAATCCACATCTTCTGTGAGCAGATTGCTTCCTGGGTTATTGTGGGCTTTAGCTTAGACTCATTCCGCGCTAAACACTAGATGAGGTATTTAGATCTAAGCTGCCTTTACGATCATATTTTCACTTGAGCTTTTAGAAATTATTATTGTTGAGATGTAACTGGGACACTGTGAAAAGGACAATTTTACTGCCATTAATATGCGTATGTATAACTTAGTGGTGTAATCACAGTTCAAATGAGTTTCAAGCTCAGTAGTTTTGCATTTGAAGCCCAAGGATTTTCAAACTAAATTTCTGTGTGTTGTTTGTGTGTTTTGTCTCTTCTTGTAGTCACATCCAACAATCATCCGTCGTGTAAATATGTTAAGTTAATTTAGGACGTCGTATAAAGAAAGCAGAGACTTTTACTGACAAAGCACTTTAGTGCATAATGTGAGAGTAGAACATCTGATGGGTTGTTGTGCCTTTAAGGTTTTGGAAAAGTCTTTGTTTTTTTCCACCAGTGCAAAGAAGCTGATTGGTCGAACACGATCAAGTGGAGCCAACAATTCAGAGAAAATGAACCAAGGTTGTTCATCATAAAGGCTTTTATGCACAAATTTCTTGAATACTTGATAGTCATTGTTGTGAAGATGTGCCGGTGCTTTGGATGTCCTTGAAATAAAATGTTTTTAAAAATCTGATCATGTCTTCATCTTCTTCTTCTTCTTTTTGCTGTTGCACAAACACGTCCTAACAGACTGAATCAGACTGAATCTGTGGAAGGAAAATAAGCACTGAGTGGATTTTAGGAGGTTCACAATGTGAGCAACAGGCTTTGCGTCGACCAGATTGGTTCTGCTTTCAGGCTCAGGTCGAGGTCCGGGGTTGTCTCAGGTGTTCCCTCTCTGAACCTGAAAACTCACTACAGAATGAAAACTGACCACTGGCAACAAACTATGTCCTCTGTAAGTTTTAGGGGTTTCTGTTATATTGATGGTGCCTTCTAAAAGTATTCGCATCCCCTAAGGGGGCGGCGTTATGTATTTTACAGTCACATAGTGTAGTTTTATAGCTGTTGATGGCTGATATCGTCTCAGCGGAGGGTGACAGCATGGATAAGATGGTTAAAACTTGCACAAAAATTGTTTTTCTACTGGCAAAACAATCCCTTACACATGCAAAACAAGTTTTCTGAGTCAATAAAGAAGGCTAACATTAAGCTTCTGGAGAGGCCCCGACTATATCGCTACTTGAAATGCAAAAACTGTGATTAAAACCTGGGTCTTGAGTAAATTCTTACTCATGTACCCAATTATTGTTTATAAGACTCACTTAAGGTCCCAGGAGGAATTGCTGCGAGCCTCTGACTAGACCTGCTGTTACAGTTTTGCTCAAAAATGAACAAACAGGCCACATGTTGTTGTAGAAAGGATATTTGAAAAAGCACAAAACATCTTCAAGTTCATAATGTGATATAATTAGCTAGCCTCCAACACACACACACACACAAGCACAAACTGATGAATCTACAGATTGTTCACTGCATAAATGTCAATATTCAGCCCAACACCTCTAGAGATAAGCGTGACGGAAAAGAATACAAAGCAGTCAAATCCAATAATGTAGAAATGATCTCTCTTTCACATCTAATTTGTTTTATACTCAGAGGGTCACGCAAACACACACACACATGTGGCTCAGTCCAGACAGTATACACAAAAACCAGACTTGGGCTGATGTAATCACAGAAGAAGGAAAGCTGCAAACCAGAGACCATGTGCCACAACACAGGACTGAAAGAGCAAAAGGCTGAACGGATAAACAGCAAGGACCGTTTGGAGTAATGCTACACCTGTAGCCAAGTCCTTTCTGAACCATCTTTCATGTGATTTATGATTTTAAAAACCTCATCATTCATCTTCATAAACCATAAAGAGTCTTAATGCGTTCACTGTCATCGGTTAATTGGTTGGGTCAAAATATTTAGCTACATTTTTCTCTGACTGAATAATAATTTCAGGCACTCCGTTTGCCACCTGTAGACTTGTTCTAGGACAAACCTGCATGTAAAGAACCAAAAGACAATCCGACAAGCAGGGTTCTCTCAGAACAAATCAGCAGCTCGTCACAGGGCAACACAGAGTCTCACGGGGCAAACAACCTTGCAAAAAACTCTCATACCTGAGTTTAGAGGCTAATAAACCTACCATGCATGTTTTTCATTGGTGGGAACGAGCTGGAGTAACCAGCATGAACTCGTACATGCATGCGGAGAATAAGCTAAATGCAAGCAGATGGTAGATCGCAACTTTCAAAAACTTCATTTAGAAACAGCAATTTCACCCTGCAGCCCTAACAGGGATGCGTCTTCTTTAAAAGCTTTCAGGCTAGCGCTGCATCCATTAGCAGTTTTGTGCATGAATGTTTTTAATTGGTTCATGAGTAGCAGAGATGTAACTCTGTCAGTCCTCAAATGCGACAGACGGGATTTTTCCCTGCTTGTTCCTTTCCTCAGAATTTCTCCTGAAGCAGTTTCAGTTTCAATTTGATTGTTTGTCTTTTCTTTTCCAAACTCAGTCATGGAACATATTATTGTGATTATCAGTAGGTTAATTGCTGATTCTGTCAGCAAATACTCTGTAGCGCTTGCAACTCAGAAAGGCTTAACTTGTTATTTTTGATGATTCCTTCTTTTCTTATAATATCTAATGTTTATCGTGGATTATGGAGATCAAGCCAACAATCAGCTGGAACTGCAAACTGGTTTTATGAGAATCTAATATTAAAACATGTTTACATTTATCTTAAGCAATTTTATTTAAAAATAAAACAACAGAAAACATGCCAGTGGAATAAACTCAGAGACTGAACGGAGATGCCGAAGGTAAAAAAAAAAAAGTAATTTTCTATCATTTTCAGACATTATCAAAGAGCGCTAGCGCTGGGATCAGAAAGCTCTTTTGTTCTGTGAAAACGTGGAGCTACTGAAGAGCAAAGAGGTTTTCCACTGCTCTCCCCGAACGGCTCCAGTCAACATCCTTTTAAAAGTAAAAGCGCGCACACAATACAAAGAAAGCAGCTATTTAAATACTTGTATAAAGGTGCTGCAATCAGCTGTGAAAAAGCCCGGAGACGTTAGAAGAAGAGAGCTGCATTAGAGCTGTGAATACTGACGAAGAAACGGCTGGGATGAATCATAGCAACACATCCGCTTAATTAAGCAACTGGGTCTCACTTACAAAAAGACTAAAAAAAATAATGATTTATATTGCACTTAACCTTTGATAGAAAGTTAACTGAAAACTGAAACAGACGTAAAAGTAGACAAGGTCAAATTGACCCCTTCAACAAGGTCACTGTGTCTTTCTGTCGAGTTGTGACTGCAGCTGACTTTAGTTAAGATTGTTCAATTATCCAACTATGCGTCTCTACATTAGTGGATGTTGTTCGCTGGAAAATTACTTCCAGCCATATTTGCAGCAGAGATTTTGAAAGAGAGAGAGAGAGAGAGAGAGAGAGAGAGGTGGAGTGCTGCAGCAGGCGATCTACCAGATGTGCGTACACCTCTGTGACCAGAACCCTTTATTCTTTTCCTCCACTGTTTCCCAGGTTACCTCTGATCACATTTCCTCCTTTCTCACTCAGTAGGGAGCCTGACTTCAAGAGGAGCAGAAGGACCCTCATGCCTGCTAACAAACCAGCCCCTCTACCCAACACTCACCCACCTGCTACACACACATACACACTCGCGCGCACACACACAATGCACACACACCTTCACGCTCAAAGACACAAAAATCCACAAGGTTTTAGTGAATCTTTGCAGACATAGGTAGAGGAATCTGTCGGCGTCCACAGCAGTCCCCTGGAGTGAAGCGATCATGCAGCCCCAGGGCTGACCTTAGCAGCTTGTCAGAGGACATTACTGTCCCGTGGGCATCAAGAGAAAAACATGCAAAGGAGAAAAACACAAGACAGATATTGTTATAACAAGTAGGACAAAAAGCTGCTGCGTTGTCCTTCTGCTACATCTGAGCTTATTAGAAAATGGAAGTGCGTTCGATATTTTCGTTCCAGATGGAATTACATGTAAATGTGGAGATAGGCATGTTAGACAACAGATGGACGGATATGTGTATGTAATTTATTTATTTTTTTCATTCATATATACGTAGCTCAGTTACAAGCTTCAATGTAAAGCGTGTTACCAATGCTGTTCGCTCCGCTGCCTTTGCGTGAACTTGATCTTCTGGTCTCAATTGACGCCACAGAAGCAGAAGAACAGCGAGAAAAGAAACCAAGTGAGGCATTAAAAAAGGGCTGCAGTTACTCAATTACAGTAAAATATAAAAGACGCCTTTCGGGACCAATCATGTTAAATATGAGCATCTTCTCTTTATGGTTTGTGTAAGGAATCTGACTTTATGGCAATGTCGTCTTTTTATCGATAGGTTCAAGTGGTTTGTGGGTTTTTTCAACGTAAAACACTCACTTGTTATCAATCCAGCTGAGAGCACAAATGCACATTTTTACCTTTAAAGCACTTCAGAGCTGAATGAGTTTAAGCTTCTCCATCTTCTCTGGATGTACGGCGGTGTTCAGCCGCTAGTCTAAAACAGTGGAAAAATATCTCTTAGCTATTTGAGTTTCCTTGGAAGTCTGAAAAGTCTCGGTTCAACGTTTTAAAGAAAGTCGCTGCTCCTAAAACCCTTTTTTTATATTCTATGTTTTGCTCTTGTTTGCATCAATAGAGCCTAAAAAAAATATAGAGGTAGTTTATTATGTAGTTGTGCCATAAAGAAGAAAGCAAGTCCAATTGCAGATGCGTATGCAAACTATCCAATGTGTCGGTAAATGCTAAAACAACATTCAGAGACCGAGGTAACCTTGGTCGAGTCTTATGCACAAAAACGAAAAGGATTTTTGAGTTGCTTTCGTTTGTTCAGACTCGGATTCTTTCCTCGGTCCACCAGGCATCATGTTAGCCTCAGTGACCTTTGCTGAAAGAGCAGCTGCAGCGGCTGTATCGAGGAAATAACCAGGACGTTCGTACAACGGAACTTTTAGTTAGAAAGCTTAAGGGTGAAATAATTCATCAGACAACTGTTTTGACCAGAAATTATTTTAATTAGAAGGAATACTTTGTAAAAATGTCCCCAGCTGCTGCTTGTCAATGTCTTCTAGCAACATTGAAACATGAAAAGACGTTTCTGATAAGAGTCTCGGCGTCGTGCCTCTGAGCCTGCATGAAGTTTTTTCAGTTTTAAGATCAGATGAGTTTGCTGATAAAGTAATGTACATTTACACTCCATTTTTTATTTACCTAAATTTATCATTTCAACATTTCTTCCCCTTTTTCCTCCTTTTTGTATTTTTTGTTTTTATGTGACACTTTGTGCTCGTCTTCTGTGGATTGTTCCTTGATTTTCCTGTAATTTTTTTCTGAATTGCCTCAAATACTGGCGTTGCAAACCACTAGACTCACAAAGTGTTTTTTCGTTTGTTAGTTTTTTTTTTGTTTTTTTTTTTGTGAATGCTGTATGTTTCTCTCTGCGTTAGTAACTCCTCTGCAGTCCTGCAGAGCTTTGCAGCAGCTGCTGAGGACGATAAAAAACATTATCGAATGTCAGCGCAACTACAAAACCCCTTCTGAAAGGACGGTTAAATAAGAAACTACCCATTTGGGATGTTTTTGATGGGC